TGTCAAGGCCCTGGGATGAGAAATGATTTCTAAACAGACATGCCCTTACAGTCTGCAAGCTGCACATGAATCAATGAGAAGGGAATCAGACACAGGAGTAGTTTGGGGGGAATCCAATTGAATAACCTATTTTCATGACTCAAATCAGGCTACATTGGTATATAGCCTGCTGTTTTTATAAGTTATGTCAGAAGACTCTTTCCATGACCTAGCGACCTCACCCTAAAAGCATAAGGTGTATTTAGGATGGTAGAAACATTAAGCTACCTATGTTTAATAGTTCGAGCAAAGCTAATGACAGGAATTAGACACAATAATCTTTTTAAACTGATTCAAATAAAACAAACATTGACGTTCCCCAGATGTTCTATTAGTTACAAGACTACACTCAAGGACCTACTTTTTACGAAAGCTTAAGTTAGTACAAAGGTACTTATACCCAGTCTTGTCAGAAACCAACATAAATGGCAGCTGAAGGCAGGTTTCTGAGACATCAGGCAGGACAGAACACTTCCTCCCACAATCCCAGGATTCAACGTTAGCACAAAATCTAGCTATTTTATTGTTGCCACTTTGCAAATCGGGAAAGGAGTACATCAAGGCTGTATATTGTCACCCTGCTTATTTAACTTATATGCAGAGTACATCATGAGAAATGCTGGGCTGGAGGAAGCACAAGCTGGAGTCAACACTGCAGGGAGAAATATCAATAACCTCAGATATGCAGATGACACCACCCTTATGGCAGAAAGCTGAAGAGCCTCTTGATGAAACAGAAAGAGGAGTGTCAAAAAGTTGGCTTAAAACTCAACATTCAGAAAACTAAGATCATGGCATCTGGTCCCATCACTTTATGGCAAATAGATGGGGAAATAGTGGAAGCAGTGAGACTTTATTTTGGGGGGCTCCAAAATCACTGCAGATGGTGACTGCAGCCATGAAGTTAAAAGACGGTTGCTCCTTGGAAGAGAAGTTATGATCGATCTAGACAGCATATTAAAAAGCAGAGACATTACTTTTGCCAACAAAGGTCTGTCTGGTCAAAGCTTTGATTTTTCCATTATTCATGTATGCATGTGCGATTTTGACTATAAAGAAACCTGAGTACCGAAGAATTGATGCTTTTAAACTGTGGTATTGGAGGACTCTTGAGAGTCCCTTGGACTGCAAGGAAATCCTAAAGATCAGTCCTGAATATCCATTGGAAGGACTGATGCGGAAGTTGAAACTGCAATACTTTGGCCACCTGATGTGAAGAACCGACTCACTGGAAAAGACCCTGATGCTGGGAAAGATTGAAGGCAGGAGGAGAAGGGGACAACAGAGGATGAGATGGTTGGATGGCACCATCGACTCAATGGACATGAGTTTGAGTAAACTCCAGGAGTTGGTGATGGACAGGGAGGCCTGGCGTGCTGCAGTCCATGGGGTCACAGAGTCAGACAACTGAGCAACTGAACTGCTTGAACCCCACAAATTCTAACGCCAAACTTTATCATCTCAAGACTTTATGCTACGTAAATGCTTATGTGCAGAAAACCTTTTATCACTACAGACTTAGCAGGCAGCACGACTCCCGTGCTGTCAAAACCCAAGGGAGGACAGGAAGGGCTGAGGGCTCAGGGCAAGTGAGGACAGATGCTAGCAAAGTACATCAAGAACAGAACTTCTGGAATAAAGTCTCCCTTCAAATGGATTGCCAGCCCAAGAAAGACAATCCCCCTAACGCCTTTTTCAATGAGTATTTCAGGATGTCAATTAAGTTTTATGGAGAGATCTTTTCTTTCTTTGGAAAAACAAAATATTGAGTTTTAATATCAGAAACTTTTTTACCTATCTTTAATCTTCAAACTTCATGTCAAGTCACAAATCTATAGTCCATACCACATAATAGCTATCTTGCTTCTTTTTGATGTGCACTCTTTCAGGCACAAAGAGCAATAACCAAGAAAACACTGAAAATGAATTCAGTGAACCGATTTTCAGTATATAAAGTGTACAGTACATCCCAGTGTGGTCCATTGTTTAATGTACATTGTTTAAAAGTGCATCTCCTCTAAAACATCACAGATGTACATTATTCTTATCACCAAAGAACCTACACAGAGATTTATTAAGTTTCAAAGTTGTACCACAGGGAATAATTGTTTAAAGCTATAAAATCTTGTGTATTTTGGAAACAAAGTCATTCCAGATTAAACATTGCTGAAAAAACATTAAGCTTTAGAGATCATGGACATCAAATCCATTACTTAAACCAAGTAGTATTCGGAAAGTAGCTAACACTTTGTTTTGTTCTGTTGTCAATAAAAACCTTTTAATGAAGTTTAAGCTAAGAAATACCAGCAGGGAAGGACATGGGGAGAAGGGAAGGGGGATTGGGGTGGGCGGCTATTGCAGAGCAGAGCTGGCCACCCATCTACCTGATTGTAAACTGCTAGACATATTGTTGGACTTCCCCGATAGCTCAAGAGGTAAAGAATCAGCCTGTAATGCAGGAGACACGGGTTCAATCCCTGGGTCGGGAAGATGCCCTGGAGGAGGAAATGGCCACCTACCCAGTATTCTTGCCTGAAAAATCCCACAGAGGAGCCTGGCGGGCTACAGTCCATGAGATTGCAGAGTCGGAGATAAGTAAGATTGTTACAGGAGAGAGTCAACAATTCTCTATATAGCTTACTTCCAGAAAACATTTCTCAGAAAACATTCTGTTTAGAATTGATACACATATCTGAAAATAGACTGTTAGATGATTCTTGGAAGTTTCAAGTTCTTCTGGTTAAAGCAGTATTTCTTTTTCTTATATTCAAATTATAGTTGTTGGGTAGCCCCCCCCCCCCTTTTTTTTCAAATCAAACCAACTTTTTATTCTTGAAAGGATAATATTAAAACATACCAGTTTCCAAGTCACTAGAGATAGTTTGGATTAAAGTAATTGGAAAGGGGACGCTACTTAATCTCATTTCTGCCGTGTCATTTGACACTTGGTATCTGATATTTTAGGAGTGCCAGGAACCATAAAAAGTGAGAAAAATAGGACTGTGTACAGATTAAGCCAGCATTATTAGATGTTTCTGAAAAATAACTTTTATTCTGAATCAGTGATAAGCTACATATTCATCTGCCACTATTTCAAGTCACAATTATATTGACATCTCTCCTTTGAAACACCAAACCGTTTTTTCTACTTTCCAAACATCATTTGAAAGCAAATAATTATTCCAAAGATAAAGCATCAGAAGCAAAGTTTCTCCACCCAAGGTGACTTTAATTTTCAGATCACAACATTTTAGAGACTCCATTTAATTTTTCCTATTTTTACTTCTTCTTGGCAGTTTTTTCAAACTCTGAAAATTTAAACTATGACAAGAAAAGCATTCAAAACATAATACAAATATATACAAGAATACAAGAAAAGTTTAAAACAAAAAATATTGTACTGCAGTATCTCCAAATATGATGTGTTCTTGAAATAACCAAAAACCAAGGGTACAGGTCCACAACGCTCTCACGTCTTACACAAATCTATGTTTGAATCTCTTCATGTATATGTATTTTTGTTTTGCCTTTTGGTGCCTAAAGTAACTAAGACTCAAAAAGATACCTAATATGACATGAAAAACATGGTATCTATGATTTTTTTTTACATCCTATTCTGAACACATCTTAATTGGTGCAATATTACTCTTAATAATAGGCAAGCAATACATATAAAAAGACATACTATAATACAATGTTTTCAGAATCATAAACAATTTCCACGATGACATGAAAAATCTACAAATTAACTCACCTCATTATAAAGTGAAATTCTTATGTATCATAGTAAGAATGCTACTATTAGGAGCATTCTATATTATTTCATTTTCTAGTGTAGAAAGGTTATGGTAGAAAAAATAAGGTGCATTTTTAATAAGCCACCAACAGACACTTTACAGTGCCTAACACACACACCCCCAGTGCAAACTATCCAAGAAAATAATCCTTATTTTAATATGAGATGTTTCACTACACAGTTTGACTAAAGGTAAAATGAGAAATAGCTTTCCATCAGTAACATGGCATTATCACAGACAATTCAATGTATATATATATATTGTGGTCAGTGAAAATAAAGAACAACATTCCATCCTTTGATTTACTGTTTCTAAATTCTACCTTACCTTTTAGAATTGTTCCCAATTCTAAAAATTTAGATATTTTCCTAGTTTCCATAGCTAACTAGCAGACTAGATATTTTGCTGGTCAGCCACTAGAAATTAGTGACCCACTGGTGATGCCCTTGCTGCATTTCCTTCTTTACTATAAAACCAGAACCCTCTACTGCTATTTTGTTTCATGCGGCACCAACCCAACTTCATTTTTTCCCTAAGAAAAAATAAATATATAAAGAAGACACTGTGAGGCATATATTCACAAGGTCTCAATTTCTTAAAACAGAAGTATGGGTATATTTATTTCTCTCAAATGCACTCAAGACAATAATTACACAGCAACAAATCTTTAGTTCAACAATGATTTGATTCATAAGCATCTGAATGAAATTTACATAATTTCACATCCATACCCTTGCATTTTAAATACTGTAAGTAAAAAAGCCCCCCAATAACCAATTCTTATATTTCCTATTTAGTCCTCTATACATCCAAACTTTAAAAAGTTACAAACTGAACATTATACAGAACATATAAATCATGTTTAAAAACTTGAGGTTTTAAAATCACTGTTCCCCAATATGATTCATAAAAGTCCTCATGCTGACAAGTGCAGTCCTAGGTGGTAAAGTAAACTGGAGGAGGGGAAGAAAGAAGAGACAGACACAAGTTTGCTGTCTTAATATTTTACTAATCCTGTCAGTTAAAAATGGTGATGTCATGAGAAATAACAGTTTAGGTTTAATATGAGGAATGGACTCTGCCTCACAGTCTGAGACATGCATTTCAAGTATTTTCCTATTTGATCTGAGCTCCCTGCAGCAAACTGATGCTGAAAGAGAATAACTATTTTCTTCCATACATTCGCTCAATGTCCGCCTGGTAATGTGTTTTAAGCTCTTTGCGTTTCAGCTTGAAGGCATCTGTCACCAGACCAGTTTCAGGGGTCCACGGTTCAGGGCTCAAACGAATTTTTACTGGAATTTCAAACTTTTCCAGACTTGCTGAGATGGTGGAAGAAAGAAATTAAAAAGTAAACACAAAGTCATGAAAAATATACAATTAAAATTCTTAGCAAATAGTTTTAACTTCCTCAGACTCCACGCACCCATCAAAGTGTACCAGAAGCAAAACACAGATACATATATATATAAGAATTATAATAGCAAAAAACTGTTTAGAAAATCTACATGTCCATCAACAGAATGAGTTGGGTAAATTACGATATAGGCACAAAATGTACACAATTCATTCATTAAAAATAAGTTAGATCTATTGGTATGGGTATATAAAGATACTTGCCATATACTGTTAGGTTTAAAAAAATCATTTTGCTTTGTGTTTGAACACTACATAAACTTACATGCAACTAGATATGTAGGACGAGGATACAGATAAAATAAACCATATGCCTCGAGGGGCTAGTATCCAGGGTTAGAAAAAAGGAAGTGTCACTTTTGATCTTATACCTATTTGTTTTCTTTTGAATTTATTTTAAAAAATCACTTTAGAGGGCTCCCCTGGTGGCTCAGTGGTAAAGAATCCACGACACAGGGTCCATTTCTGCTCCGGGAAGATTCCACATGTCTCAGAGCCTCATGTCCCTGCGCCTCAACCACTGGGCCGGCGCTCTGGAGCCCGGGAGCTGCAACTACCGAAACCTGAGCACCCTAAGCCCGTGCGCCACCACGAGCGAAGACACGGCAGAAAGACACCTGCGTGATGAGAAGCTCACACGTGCTGGAACGAGAGCAGCCCCAGCTCTCTGCAACTAGAGAAAAAGCCCACACGGCAACAAAGACCCAGCACAGCCAAAACCAAATAACTGTCTAAACATCACTTTAAGAAATAATCAAGGTAAAACAGAAATCTAGTGACTGAGCCAGGACAGTCGCCATAAGCTCTGAGGAAGAATGTGGGCTCCCTACTGTGTTTCTCACACCAAGGAGACCCTCGAGAGGGGAAGGATTGGGGGCGGGGGGGATGAGACCTGAAGAAGCACATTTCCTTATCAAGGCTGATTTACGTTTCACAAATATTTACCAGCAAAAATTATTGTGTAAAATGCTTTAGTAAACATTGTTTTAAAATACAAAAATGAATAGTTTCTGCTCTCAACTGGTATACTATTGGGAAAAGGGTAAACACTTAGCCATAATAATACATATATTTTAAAATAACTGAGTTCAAGATATAAGTGCCTTGTGAACAAAAATTATACATTAACTCAAATAACAAATTTTATTCTTCAAAGATTACAAGTATTTCAGGAGTGGTTTCTAATTGGAAAAGCCACCATGAGAAAAAGCAGTACAGTAGGGACCGAGCATTAAGGGACCCGAGTCTGACAGCACTGAGATGTACGGAGACTCGCAGGAAGCCCTGGAAGCCCATGCTCAGCTATAAAACACTCAGCACTGCACTCCGTGATCGGGCTCAAAACGACGCTAGGAACAGCAATATCAGCTACACCAGTTTAGAAAAATGAACACAGCAACAATCACAGGACCAGTTGGAGAAATGGGGACTCTAATAAAAAACTATGAGTATTTCTTCCTTATTTTGATGTGAATATGTTTGTATATATGGTAAGCAAATACCTTTTGCTTTCTTCCCCCCATTCTCTTGTCATAATATATTAATAAGTTAACTTTATATCACAGTATTTAAGTTACAGGATAGCCAAGTAGCAGAGCTAAAAGATCGCTCAGGGGTGTGCAAACACATCTGGAGAAGAGGTTCATGTATTTCCAGTTGCACACAAGATAACTGTATAACGTGAGGTGACAGTCTGACTTTGTTACTGTCTTTACTTGGAAATTAGCTATGGTTTAAGGAAATGTATGTGGGTGCCAAGCTGACAACAGGAGGACTGTGGTGGTTTTATGCATCATCTGGACTAGGCTGGAGTTCCCAGTTATTCAATAAACACTAATGCAGGTATTCCTTTGAAAGTGGTTTATAGATATGGCTGAGCCAGTTCAAAGACCTTGAGAGCAGAGCTGAGGCGCCCCTCAAAAAAGAAGCGATGCTGCCCACGGACAGCAACTTTGACCCCTGCCTGAGACTCCAGTCCATTTTTTAAACGTTCTGTCCTATAGACTGCCAGTTCTATCCAGCCAGCCCCCAGTGAAAAGGGAAACCAACTCCCTACCTTAAAAGTTTCTCTAGTTAAATATATTTAACCTACTGACTCTGTTTCTCAGGTGTAAATCAAATACAGACTTGGCTTAAAAATGACGCTGGATCCCTTCTTCACATCATATATAAAAATTAACTCAAAATGGATTAAGGACCCAAATATAAGGACAAAAACTACAAAACTCTTAGAAGAAAATAAGAAAATATTTCTTTGTAAATTAGGCAACGGCTTCTCAAATGTGAATCACAAGCAACCAAACGAAAAAAAGGAACCTGTTCCTTATAAAAATTAAAACTGTTGTACCTCAAAGGATACCATCTAGAAAGTAAAAACACAACCCAAACAATGGGAGAAAATACTTACAAATCACACACCTGATAATGGATTTGCATCTAGAATATATAAAGACCCATACAGTGACAGATTTTATTTTCTTGGGCTCCAAAATCACTGCAGATGGTGACTGCAGCCATGAAATTAAAAAACGCTTACTCTTTGGATGGAAAGCTATGACAGACCTAGACAGTATATTAAAAAGCAGAGACACCACTTTGCTGACAAAGGTCCATGTGTCCTTTGACAAAGGTCAAAGCTATGGCTTTACCAGTAGTCATGTACAGATGTGAGAGACAGACCATAAAGAAGGGGGAATGCCACAGAATGTGGTGCCTTCGAATAGTGGTGCTGGAGAAACTTGAGAGTCCCATGGACAGCTAGGAGATCAAACCAGTCAATCCTAAAGGAAAACAACCCTGAATATTCATAGGAAAGATTATGCTAAAGTTGAAGCCCCAATACTTTGGCCACCTGATGCGAAGAGCCAATTCACTGGAAAAGACCCTGACGCTGGGAATGACTGAAGGCAAAAGGAGAAGAGGGTGACAGAGGATGAGATGGTTAGATAGCATCACCAACTCAACAAACATGAATTTAAGCAAACTCCAGGAGACAGTGGAGGACAGAGGAGCATGGCATGAACAGTTCATGGGGTCACAAAGCAGCTGGACACAACTTAAGTGACTGAACAGCAACAAACTCAATAATAAAAAGACAAATAACCTCACTTAAAAATTGTGCAAAGAATCTGAACAGCCGTTTCTCCAGAGAATACATACAGTGGCCAATAAATACAGAAAAACATGCTCCCCATCATAAGCCACTATCTAAAATACAGATCAAAGCCACAATGAGAGGCCACTTCACACCAATCAGGATGGCCAGAATTAAAAGGATTAACAAGTGTTGGTAAGGATGGAGAAACTGGAATCCTCATACAACTTGAGAGGGAATGGAAAATGGTGCCACCGTTTTAAAAAATAGTCTAAAATATTTAGAAAAAAACATATTCTGGAAAATAGCCTGGCAGTTCCTCAAAGAGTCAACAAAGTTGGCAGAAGCCCATCAATTCTACTCAGGTGTCTACCCAAAAGAAAGAAGTAAGCATATCCACACAAAAACTTGTGTACAAATGTTCACAGCAACATATCATTTATAGCCAAAAGCAGAAACGACCTAGGTGTTAACTGATGAATGGATAATGAAATATTATTTGGCAATAAAAGGAAATGAAGTGTTGATGCACACTATGACAAAAATATAGAGCTGAACAATACATGCTAAGTGAAACAAACCAGTCACAAACACCCATATACTACATGGTTCGACTCATATAAAATCTCTAGAACAGGCAAATCTATCGAACCAGAAAGATCAGTGGCTTCCCAGGACTAAGAGGTCTGAGGTGTGATTAGAAGTGCCTGCTGACGGACACAGGGTCTCTTTTTTGAGGTGACGACAAAGACAATGAGGTGATCACAACCTGAAGCTGATACAGCAATGTGTACAACTCTGCCAACATACTAAAAAACTATTGTAGACTAAATGGTTGAGTTGTTTGGTGTGTAAATTATATGTCTGTTAACACGTATTTTTTAAAAATAAATTTTATAAAGTATATAAATTTTAAATTATGCTTGTTTCAGTATTCCACCTTACTGAGAAACAATATAGGTTTCTAACTTTAATTAGAAACCTAAACTTAAGTCAGCATCAATGCAAAGATTTTGAGTTACCTAGAAAAGCTGGAAATTAATTATATTCAGACTGACACGCTACAAAACATAATTACTGCTAAAATAAAGGGTCAGAATAATTTCATCTGATTAAATGAGATTTACATTTTTCATAATCTTAAATGACATATCTAAGGAGAATAAAAATGCACACTTATATTTTACTTAACGCTGATGCCCCAGAGAGTATAGCTGGCTTTATTAAACCAAGAATATCAAACTACGTCTCTCTGTGCCCACTCCACAATACACACACACACATACAAAAGGGGGAGAGGACATGTGAGTACAGCCAACCACCACCACACTAGCAGTGTAGAAAGAGTCTTGGATGGCTCGCTGCGGGCTGGGGTATATCTGGGAAGCCCAGTAGGGCCTTGGAAACAGCAGAGCAGAGTGGAGGAAGGGCCAACCCGGAAAACAGAAGCTGTGAGAAGAGAACATTCTGATACGTGTACATCAGTGGCAGGCGTGGTAGCCTTGTGTGTCCCCAGGGGGGGCTTGAACCGGGGTGACAAGCATGTTCTTCTCCTGACTACTGGAAGGAAAATATGATTGGTTTCTGAGCAGGAAATGTAACCTAAGCCCTTGTAATAAAAACAAGTTTAAGTATTCTCTTCCCATCTCAGTTCCCAGAACCAGTTAACACTCTCACTCACCTGAAATAGCAGCTTCAGAAAGCACTTTAAGTACCTCATTTTCCATTTCACTACTGTTACACAACTCCTCCCAAGTCCCAGTAAGTCCTTTCTTTCGTGCTAGTTCAGTCAGTTCCTTTTGATTTGGCACAACAAATCCAATGACATAAGAATGATAACTGAAATACATAAGGGGTACCTTAGTTAGGGCACTAAATGGCATACCATGTTAACTGTGGTTACTGATCACACTGAAATTTAGTAGCCAACTCTCTACCATTTTAAAGAACACACATAAGGCATATTTGCCACACTTATTTCATGCAACAGCCACTTTAACTGTCTGATTCATAACAGGTTCTGATGCTTTGGCAGAAATTCATTGCTAAATAAACCTTAATCTGACATTTCATGATGAGTTTCAACTATGCATATAATAACTATTATGAATCATCCCTTTAAAAGAAATTAGAAAATTTATCTTTAAAAAGTTAGTAATTCACATCAATAGACTAAACAAAAATAAAAGCTAATGAAAGTAAGAAGCTTTTTCTTAAAAAATCTGGCAACAAGTCCAAGTAATGTGATTATATATATTTACTCTTTTGTTATCATGAGAATTTGTATTCCAGAGGAACTCTGAGCACACCCACAGAAAGCAGTCACCTGAAGAAACGACAGCTTCATCAGAAGAAAGATGTTTCTGGTTAATATCACACCAGAAAACCCAGAAATGTTAGCATCACTAAAAAAACACTTCATGACTAACAAAGGGCAGAATCATTTATAAATCAATATGGTAAATCTCTAAAATGGGCTGTACCTCAAAGTCTATTTCTAAATTGGTTCTACTAATATCAGATTTTATTTTTTCATAAGTATTATGTTAATTGCGGCAGTAAGTCTTCCAGGCTGGCCACAAAGCATCCTATCACTACCACTGGGGAATGATCGCCACATACAGTAGTGTTACGGAAAAATGTGAACAGCGTGTCAATCTGAAATTCCAACACATTTCCCAAGAGTGCATTCCTGGGATTTTAACTTTAAACTCTCCTTCCCAGCTGCCTCTGAATCATCATGGGCGAGAGACGCTATGTGTTAAGACACAGCTTAACCCAGCTTAAGGGGAAAAGAAAGCCCTCCTTTGGGGTTCCTGGGGACCCAGGCAGGCTCGAATTGAGAAGGGGCAGTAAGAAGTGAGCAGAGCACTGTTGACTGACCAATTTCCTTCTTTACTCCCCTCTCCTCTAGATTGGTTGCTGGAAGCCTCCTTGTGTAGAAGGACAAGTAGCTCAGAGAACCAAAGCAGCGGGAAGGAGGGTTTATTTTCTTCCCCTTCCTATCACACGGGACTCTGCACCGAGATGTAAAACACAAATCAGACAGAGGACGATATGGACAGGAGCATCACAAGGCAAGAATCAGCCAGTGGCTGATGAGAAGAGGAAAACACATGAGAAGGAAGAGGTCTCGGTATAATTTTACAAAGGCGGCCAGCAGAGAAAGGAAGGGCTGGCCGCATTACCAAATGTTTTAAGCAGCATAAATTCTATGTTCTTACCTGTTTGCATACGCACAAATGTTGTCTATTAGTGGGAGATTCTTCAAAGCAGCCTCCACCTTCCCAAGAGAAACATATTCTCCTGCCTGTAGTTTTACAAGGTCCTTCTTACGATCTGTGCAGAAACAGGGCCAGGAGCGGGGCACATTGGAAGATAGTATTAACACACCTTTAATACAAACAAATATTGGCCATTCCCCACAAATACTGGTCATCCCCTAAGTAATTTGCGATCAGTTAAGTTCCTTATAAAGAGTTAGGCTGAAATTTAAAACACATAATAAAAAGAGGCCCTTATTTCTGTACCACTGAATACATTTCTTTTAAAAACTTAGCTTCTCAAGGGACCTAATCCTCAGGGCTTTGGGTATGTTCTGCTCAACAGATTATGTCCCCGGGACACATTAATACCAGAAAGGTCAAGAATATATACTCAAGTGCCATGTGAAAGCTCACATTCTATCTAAAGAGAAGCAGGATGAAAAACCGTATTACTTCAGTACAACATGGTAGTGCTAAGCGTTCAGACTCTCCAACTTGCTGATTTGGGAAGAATTCCTGCACGTGAGGCCTGAACTGAGTCTTCAGAGAAGACTGAGCAGCAGCCAAGTGGAACGGCACTGGCCAAGAACAGAGCTGGGCCGGTCTGCACAAAGGAGACGGGGGCAGAGGGGTGAGTGGGGCCACCCTCTGGGAGCCACTCAAAGGCTTCCGGCAGGAAAGCAGTCAGTGAGACAGGGGTTTAGTAACCACGTGGCGGCCACGAGAGGGTGCACTCAGCAGGAGCAGGCACTGCAACAGAAAGGCATTTCCTGCAACACGGTAGCAAAAGGTGCAGACCTGACCTAAAATCACAGAAACAGGGAGAGAGAGACAGAACGATAGGCTTATTTTATAAGGTAAAGCAGTGGGATACAGATTGACTATGGGGAGCTGGCCGCAGGGGCTGTCATCTCCTGCCAGTGTCTAGCTGGCATGACTGGGATAGAAGTGCCATTAACTGGGACAAAGAACCCAAGAGGAGAAGCAGGAGAATGCATTTTTCACCTGTCAGTCCTGGTACTGAGCTGCCAGGCATTCCTTAGGGCTCAATGGCAAGGGAAGGAAATGCTTCACACAGGCAAGAGTCCTGCCCGATAACCTCTAGATACACAAACATGGTGGCTTCCCAGGCAGCTCAGCTGGTAAAGAATCCGCCTGCAAGGCAGGAGACCCCAGTTCGATTCCTACATTGAGAAGAGCCCCTGGAGGAGGGCATGGCAACCCACTCCAGTGTTCTTGCCTGGAGAATCCCATGGACAGAGGAGCCTTGCGGGCTACAGACCATGGAGTCGCAAAGAGTTGGACATGACTGAGAGACTAAGCACAGCATGCAAAAATGAATACTGCCTACTAGGAACTGGACTCTTTAAGGGTTATCTCATAGTAATTAAAAATACCACTTCTGAACAGACCCTAAGGCCTCATAGCATGTCAAGCCTTGTAATTCCATACAGTCCCTATTGTGCATTTTTATATTGCTGACCTGATACAGAGACCATACCAATGTTACAGAAAGATGAATTCTTACACTATTAAACAACTTCTCTAAATACACAATATCTTTTTTGAAAAGACACTACAGGAACATCTACTTAAAGAAAAACAGTAATCAGCTGGCTCACCAATGATCTTCAAACAACCATCAGGGTCAAACTCCCCAATGTCTCCAGTACAGAGCCACCTCTGTCCGTTTTCATCTTCAAAAAAATCAGCTTTTGTTTTCGCTTCATTTTTGTAGTACCCCATTGTCACATTTTGGCCACCAATAAGAATCTCACCCCTGGGATGTGGTTTATCGGTATTAAAGTATCCACCTAATAAACAGAATAATTTAGAGTTAATTGAATAGTTTTATCCCTCACACACCAGGTGAATATTTGAAACTGCTAGTTTCTAAATAGGGACATCTGATTTTGATCCAATTAGGGTTTCCCAAAGTAAGGCAGACACTACGAACAAAATTCATCATTAAATCTAGCTACAAATTTTCAGTTGTTTAACCATAAGCACTTCTACTTTCAAACTACTATTCCGAGGAAAAAAAAAATAAACTCAAAAACCCAACATCTAGTGTATAAAACAGTTACATATATACTGCAGGTCAGTTCCTTTAAGGATTCTGTAGAGATGCTTAAATATCATACTAATTAACTGATAAAAGTGTTAAATTGTGCATTTTGATAATCAATCTCAGTATAAAGTCAAACTAGCATATATCTAGAGGATTTATTCCTTATAGATAACTTCAGAATAGTTCCAATTTTATGAAACATTTTCACTAGTTTTGCTAAAAGACAGCTGAAAAGTGACACCCAAGGCTTAGAATCTCTTTGTATAAAAGAAAAGTGCATCCAAACAAACCAGAAAATAATATGCACATGTTAATAGGATCAAGCATTTTAAAAATGACTAGTATTTAAATGGAATGAGCAAGAGATTTTTATGTAATTATAGTAAAAATTTCCTTCTGATAATTTTGGGTTGAAGCCTTCAGAAGAATAGGTAAAAATCTTCTGTTTCATAGAATGAATTTTGTGATTTTGTTTCTATAAAATACAATCATTTGCAATTTATGGACATTATTCATTTAATACATCTTCAACTTTTCCCCATAATTCTTACTTGCATTTATGTAATAAAACAAGCAAAAAAACCAATTCTTCAAAATCATCTCTGAAACAAGTCAAAATAAATTCACTCATAGCTCTAGATAAACATATTTCTATTTATAAAGGACAAAAGTAAGCACTTATGGGTTATTTTATATTCTGAAATAAGGAAGAAAAGGAAGTAAAATTCTAATACTATACAAATTAATGCTCTGTGGTTAAAACAGGTTATTACCTTCCTCCCAGTTCTTTAATTTGATTTCACAGCAAACTAATGGTGCTCCCACTCTGCCAGTATTGTAGTCCCACACTAAGATGTAAATGAAAAAAAGTATTTGATATGGTAGTTAATAAACTGCTTCACTTTTTTTAATTACAAAGATTTATCCCACAGCTTAGATATCGCCAGAGAACCTTTACAAGCAGACGCAGCCCACACTGAGGGGTTCTCTTCCTTTAATCTGAAGTGCTCATAAACAAGACACTCACAGAAGGGTACAGAGCCTCCAAGAACCGTGGGCCCATGTTTCCAGGACAGCAACGGCTACAGCCCCTGACAGACAGGGCAGGCCTGCTCCAGTTTTCCCAGACTCCATGCCATCACATTTTCTAACGCCCACTAAGCAGCTGCTTGGTTCATGACTCTGTCTTCCCTGTTTTAAAGGATGAAGGAGCACGATGGTTTACAGCTATTCCACTTTCTTACTCAACTTAACACAGCTCTGCAAGACAAATAACCTCTCCAGTCTTCCAAGTGAGACCTCTGAAGCTCCCCTCACACCAGCTTATGCTACCATATCCTATTTAAACTCATACGGTAAGAGTTCAGAGGCCAGGCTGGAGGTTCAGACTGTTCACTTTCAAAGATCTGGGGCAAGAATTCACCAGTATTATGAATTACTACTGCATTAGGCTTCCTTTTCAAGGACCATTCAAATATCAGAAATAAAAGGTTGATACATGATACTTTACAGATTTATTTACAACATAAAAACCAATGGAAACCTTAAAAATTGAAGAAATTAAGGCTCCTTGGGAACAGAACGTGCTTGTTTTTAAGAATGCTTGTGTATTTTCTGCAAAACAAGAGTTATAAGCAGCTTCCAAAAATATGAAAATGATAGAGAACACAACGGAAAACTGGAAAATATGGAAGTAGTGCAGGATAAGCCTCGCATAAGAATGGTACACAAAATCACTTAGGGCAAAGAAAGGAAAATGAATATGGTTTAGTGTCTACAAATATTTAGAGAAAACAAAGGAGAAGCATAGTTTTTTCATGGACTGGAGAACAAAGTAACTGTCCTCTATAAAAGGGCACACGGGCACTAGACAGTCACCTGTGCACCACGTGGGTAATGGACCAGTCACCTAAGCTCATCGCCATGATAAACTCTGGGAATTAGATTCTCCGGACCGAGATTAGATTCTCTAGTTTCTCACTGCACTTATTTTAACACAGACCACTCACCTCAATAAACATTTCTGAATTTGACCCTTAATAAACCTAAACAACTAAACAAACACACTAATTTTTCTACATAAAAAGAAATTTAATAACTGATATAAGATCATATATGTATACAATACAGCTAATGCTTGTTACTAAAACTTCTTTTCTAGAATGCTAAGTAGTTTTTAATACTATCTATCAGTTTAACATGAAAAACTCCTCTAGATGAACTAGTGACATACCTAATACATTCTGAAAACTGATTTCAACAATCACAGTACTTGAGATTTACACAAATATTTTAACCGATTTTCTATATATTTGCAAAAAACAACCTATACCAAAAGGGCCAGGAGTTGTACCCTAGCCTCTGTTGTAGACACTACTCTGCAGACAAAACTAACCTTCTGTAATTGTTCCAGCCCCACAAGATTCAGTGAGTCCATACCCCTGACCAACAGGACAGCAAAAACAGATGTTCATGAATCGCTGTGTGGTTGCAGAAAGTGGAGCACCTCCACACAACAGAAGTCGAATATTTCCACCTAGCAAGCCTCGAACTTTCCGGAAAATAAAGCTAAAAAAAAAAAAAAAAATCCAATCACCGATTTTTAAAGCTGAACAGGATTTTCCAAATCATTTAGACTAATCTCCCAATTTTGATATATAGGAACACCTCGAAGATAATTAGGGTTCAGTTCCAGACCATAACAATAGAGAGACTATCACAATAAAGCAAGTCACTTCAATTTTTGGTATCTTGGTACATAACAAAAATTATGTTTATACTATACTGTGGTCTATTAAGAGTGCAACAGCATTATATGTAAACAGCAAGGCATACCTTAATTAAGAAATACTTTATTCCTAGCAAAATGCTAACCATCTGACAATAAAGGGCTGCCACAAACTTTCCATTTGTTTAAAAACAAAATCACAGTTACTTGTGAAATACAATAAACCAAAGTGCAACACAACAAGATATGCCTATGAGATGTTGAGATCAAATGACTTATCCAAAGTCACAAAGCCAATTTAAGAGATTCTCTTGACCCACTAATTAAATCTAAATGTCTATCCAACCAAGTTTATTCGACCCAAGAAAATGTGATTTTCTCTTAAGAACTGTAAGAAATATTAGAATTCAAAATTGCCAGGTTTAATTTTGTATAGTAACAGAAATCCTTTGCTTATGGCCAGAATAATTAGTTTTATATCATTATATAATACATATTAATACTGAATAACTTTACTGTATCTTCATGAAGTTTATTATTAAAAGCAAATTATTTTTTTGCTTTAGCTTATTTCACTAGAAATGTATACATATCTGTAAATAGCAATTTAGCTCTATAGAATTTCACTAATTCAAAGTATCTGGTAAATTTAAAAAGGAAACGATTCCAATATCTAATTGAAATGCTTCTGAAAATACACAAAATAAAAAGACTGCTTACTACCTTGATGAAAAGAGGGGAAGGGTTTTGTTCTGTATTTTAATAACTTTGAAAAAGGCAAAGACCAAAGTCAACAATTTAAAATATGTGTGTGTATAAATATATCTAATATATATGTGTATATATAAATATATATGTGTGTATATATATAGTAGTGTTAGTCACTTAGTCGTGTCTGACTCTTTGCAACCCAATGAGCCCACCAGGCTCCTCTGTCCATGGGATTCTCCAGGCAAGAATATTGGAGTGGATTGCCATTCCCTTCTCCAGAGGATCTTCCTGACCCAGAGATCGAACCCCCCTGCATTGCAGACAGATTCTTTACCGTCTGAGCTACAAAAAAAGTATATATATATGTGTGTGTGCATATAAACATGTGTGTATATATAAAAAGATATTATATGTGTGTGTATAAATACATGTGTGTATTTTATATATACATATAACATATGTGTATATATAAATATATATTAAATAGGTTTACAAAGCAGTTATGTATCTCACTGGAGAGATTAGTAAAATGCAGGAAAAAATTATAATAAAGCTTTAAATGTGACACATTTGAAAACTATATTAATATCCCCATAAAAAGTAATTTGAATGTCATACTGTTATTGTCTAATTTCTCAACTACTTCACAGTTAAATATACTTATTCTATTAGTGCCATGGGGGGAGGGGTGGAATAGGTCACAAAATGTTTAATATCTGGTTGCCATTTTATATTCATATCGAAATAAATTTAAAAGCAAAGAGAAACTACTTCTCAAAATAATTAAAGTCATGTAAGTGGCCATCAAAGATAATAAACACACTAACAGTACGATAAAATTTTTGGTGACAATTTTTTTCAAATAACACTGAAAGCTTCTTTAACTGCTCATAGTCTTATGCGAGACGGAATTTTTAGAGTCCCTAAAGATAATTAATGTGAACAAATGATTAAATTATGAAGGAGAGGGAGAGCCTTTACGCACCTATCACACAGCGGAGTACTGTGCCCTTTTGAAATCTGTTCCATTTTGTAATTATAGGCCAGAATAAACAGATTGCGTTGAAAACTGCTCATTTCATTCACTTTATTCATGACATTTTTGTAGATTCGATCCATGATTTCCTAAAAATATACAAGTGACTTAATACAGTCAATAATGCTCTCAGCTACCTTATTTAAAAGCTTAACATCAGATTACTATTTCCATTAATAGAGACATTTTAGAAGAGACATTCTGTCAAAAATAAACTTTTAAAATAGAGCCACACTTTGTTTAAAAATGAGATTTCTGTAAAAGTAATTTTTAATAGATATTCAGCAATAGTACAGAGGGAGATATTAGAAACCTTAGGGCAGCAACATGCCATCACTGATTCTTATACTGCTTTGTTTATCTATCTTACTTGTGTGTGTGTGCTCAGCTGTGTCCAGTTCTTTGCAATCCCATGGACTGCAACCTTCCAGGCTCCTCTGACCATGGGACCCTCCAGGCAAGAATACTAGAGTGGGTTGCCATTTTCTTCTCCAAGTCATCTTACTTATTCTGAGCTAAAAACTAAACTCACTAAATAAATGAACATCTATATGAAATGGCTTTTTAAATTCTCATAACTTTATCTTATGAAGATATGAAGTGCTACATTCTTTGCTCACAAAAACCATGGGGTTATTTTGCTTGCTTGTCTTGATTTTTAATGCTGCACCCAGGAAAAAAATTCCTTGCCTGCACTGCATTTGGCTTGCTACTGCTATTACTATGACACACACCTTATTAACTTGAAATAGTTTCTCTCTACAATTTTATACTATATTTATTATTTATATGAATTAAAAATTTAAAGAAAGATATTATTAAGGAAACTACATACCTACAGAAACTCCAAAACTACTGATCGTTTATATTTGACTTTGGAAAAACTACATAATAATGCTCGAACGTGAATATTTGGTGTGCGTAGTAGTTCAGTCGTGTCTGACTCTTTGCAACCCTCTGGACTGTAGCCTGCCAGGTTCCTCTGTCCATGGGATTCTCCAGGCAAGAATACTGGAGTGGGCTGCCATTTTCCTCTCCAGGGGATCTTTCTAAACCAGGGATAAAACCAGTGTCTCCTGGGTCTCTTGCACTGGCAGGAGGATTCTTTACCCGCTGAGCCATCCGGAACACTCGGTATCCAGTTAAAATTCAAACAAAATCAGAAAGTCTCGTAAAATGTACACTAGGGGCACAGAAAATCACTGCCGCCCCCTTTCTACTGGTCTTATCCCCAGGTCCCGCCCTATGCCTGACACTAAATTAAGGGGCACAGTGCTTCGGTGTCAGTCACCCAGCTGTACCCAACTCTCTGAACCTCATGGACTGCAGCCTGCCAGGCTCCTCCATCCATGGGATTCTCCAGGCAAGAGTACTGGAGTGGGTTGTCATGTCCTTCTCCAGGGCATCCTCCCAACCCAAGGATGGAAGCCAGGTCTCCCACATGGCAGGCAGACTCTTCTGCTCAGGCAGAAGCACTGAGCCATCCCAGTGCTTCTCGGGCAATTCAAAGTGGCACCAACTTCTCTGTCCCTTTTTTCTGGTGTCCAGGCCAGACTCTCCCTAAGGGACTCGGGAGGTGTGATTTGCTGAGGAGGAGATGATCTCCAGCCTTTCCTCCTATCTCCTGCTGGGCTTCAGGTCGCTACTAACAGCAAACACATATCACAAACCTGATTTGAGCAAGAAGCTCTTTAGGGAAAGGGGTTGATCGTATCATATGGAAGCTGAAACTATTATTATGTTGACTGCTTAATAAACTAGATGAAAAAGATAAGACATAACCGAATAAATACTTCAGAGCTCAAGGTACTACAGATAACAAATAAAGAGTAAATCCTACATAAACTACCTTGTCAACAATGTCTTTTCCACTAGCAGTTACATTCTGCAGATGCTTTTTTTTCTTAAGCACTCAATATTGATTAATGGTCAATTCTTACCGGGACAGCTGCCATCAGTGTTGGTTTCAACATGGATGTATCTCCTTTGCTTCCTTTTTTTATTTTTGAAGACTACAGAGAGAAAAATAGGTTTACATAAAGTGATCATCATTTAAAAAATTCAATGAAACACTTAAAAAACATATTACAAAATTTTATAATTTTAATCTGTGATGTGACGTAAAAGTCACTCAGTCGGGTCCAACTCTTTGCGACCCCATGGGCTATACAGTCCATGGAATTCTCCAGGCCAGAAGAGTGGAGTGGGTAGCCTTTCCCTTCTTCAGGGAATCTTCCCAACTCAGGCATCGAACCCAGGTCTCCCGCATTACAGGCGGATTCTTTACCAGCTGAGCCACAAGGGAAGCCCATTTTAATCCACTCATATTCTAAACAGACCTTAAAAGGCAAGTTCCTTTGAAATGATTAACTGTTATCCTTATAGTATACTGTCATACTGAGTGAAAACTGTGTTAAAGATAATTATGGTTTCTTACTATCTCAAGTCACAGAAGTTCCGTTACCTGATCTGCTAAAGTCTGTGGTGAAGAGTAGCCGATGCGGCATCCGTGGGAGAGACAGACAAGCTCAGCACTCAATTCTAAGACGTGGGCCAGAGGCAAATATCCAATATAAACATCCTTCTCCCTAGAAGAAAAGGAAGATGCAAGAAGCAAGTCAGGTGCTGTTTCCGTGAAAAGTGACTCCAGTGGGAGCAAGCTTTAAAAGGCACTGGTAGGTCCCTCTGGGCTCCATGTGTGTGTATGACAGACCCTGGGAGTGCCAGGGGAAAAGAACTGCAACACAGCTCCATTGGAAGCTGAGGAGGCAGACACACAGGAAGTGGCTCCGTTTCCCGTCCTCCCGGAAGGTGCTCCCTAACTGAGCACTGCAGAAGCAAAGCTCTAGAGCAGAAGAGATCAGGACTCGGGGGGGTAACCGCATGAGGGGTTCTGAACACAGAAGAAATCCCCCACAGAGGGACTTGGCAACTAATGGGCTATCAGAAAGGACAGTTCAAACAGAATCCACAACTGCCTGCCAGCAATCTCAGGAAGATGCTTGTTCTGAAAGTTAAATTATACATTATATAATAAAATGTATATGTATACACGCACATATTATTTCAAGAACTGCTCCCACTCTCAAAATATGAAGGGCAACTTCCCAGAAGGAACCAGTTGCTCTTAATTTTTTTCCTGAAAGTTGTGCATACATAAGAGATTTCTATCTGCATCCCCAAATTCAATTCCACAGTAACATGTACGTATTTATAATTGCTACACATAAAGGCAACAAAAATATCCAGCCACTGTACAAGATCAGTCATCACAACACTGGTTCCATCTCCGGGAATGTCATCCTCACTTCCCTAAAACTCCCTCCCGTCTGGCTTCCTCACTGAGCTCCTTCCCGTCCCAGGAGACCCACTCTCCTCTGCCACCACTCGACTGTGCCTTAGAAGGAAAAATCAGACTGAATGCAGAAGCTCAACAAATACTGAGTGGATATATTATTTGTTCACTTGAATTATAATATTGAGGTATAAAAATGACTATGACAGTAACAATACGAACTGATTAAAATATTTCAGTTCAGTTCAGTCACTCAGTCATGTCTGACTCTCTGCAACCCCACGAACCGCAGCATGCCAGGCTTCCCTGTCCATTACCAACTCCCGGAGTCCACCCAAAGCCATGTCCATTGAGTCAGTGATGCCATCCAAGCATCTCATCCTCTGTTGTCCCCTTCTCCTCCTGCCCTCAATCTTTCCCAGCATCTGGGTCTTTTCCAATGAGTCAGCTCTTCGCATCAGGTGGCCAAAGTACTGGAGTGTCAGCTTCAGCATCAGCCCTTCCAATGAACACCCAGGACTGATCTCCCTTAGGATGGACTGGTTGGATCTCCTTGCAGTCCAAGGGACTCTCAAGAGTCTTCCCCAACACCACAGTTCAGACGCATCAATTCTTCAGCGCTCAGCTTTCTTTATAGTCCAACTCTCACATCCATACATGACTACTGGAAAAACCATAGCCTTGACTAGACAGACCTTTGTTGACAAAGTAATGTCTCTGCTTTTTAATATGCTGTCTAGGTTGGTCACAGCTTCCCTTCCAAGGAGTAAGTGTCTTTTAATTTCACAGCTGCAATCACCATTAAATCAGGTCAAGTTTGCACTTTTAAAGTAAAAAGTAAATATTAACAATGATACCTACAAAATATATTTTAAACCTCACAACTATAACTATTTTGTAATTTTTATGTCTTTTCTGAAGAAATGCCTAACTGTAAACAGACTCTGAAGGACTAATTTGATCATATACTAACAAATGACATTAATGTAAATAATTAATGTAAATAATAACATACCCGAGTTCTGGAATCCTTTCCGCCATCCCAGTTATACCAGCAATAATGTTACTATGAGAGATCATGACCCCCTTTGGAATTCCTGTGGATCCACTTGTGTACATGATTACTGCGATATCTGAGGGCGCTGGTTTGCTAAGGGGTTTGTTTTCTGTATTAGAGAAGACACACATACTCCTGAGAAATTTAGCTATATCACCAATCTTTTCATAATCATTTGTTAACAACTGTTAATTGTACTCACACAAAGGTCGATAAAATAGATCAAGCCCTTGCACATAAGACATAGCCTACTTGGACAGAGGTATACAAATCTATAATTTTAAGAGCTATGAAAAAAATAAAGCAAGACCAGGTGAGAAAATGGTAGGAAAAGTGGCAGGAAACGAAAGTGAAGTAGCTGCCAGGACCCCATCGGGCGGAGTCTCCAAGGTCACGCCCACAACTCTGGATTTCACACTGCGTGGAAAACAACATCATTGTGAACAGGGACTTGTCCACAACAAGACCACACTAGCTACTGTGTGGCTACCTAACTTAAAAAGGAAACAAGAGGCAGAGAGACAAAAGGCTATGCCAGTGACTCGACTAAGAAATAAGGGTGGTTAGACTAGGGTACCTAGGCCTTTGCTAAAACTGTTCTCTACTTCACACGGTGAAGCCAACATGGCTATACTCAGAATTCTCCCCCGCTGGCACAAGCCCAGGAACAGCAGCCAACTTCCCCGACAGGTGACACGGCAGAAAGACAAAGAGAAGGAGGTCATGGACAGCACCACTCCTCTGCCTGAATTAATCTCGGAACTACTCTAAACGTGGTCTTCTTCAGTAAATAGGGAAAACATTTTAAACTTGTTCCCAAGTGCACCCTTGCTCTCGCACCTGTCAAGATTTATTTCTTGACAATTGTTACTACTCAAGTCCTTGCTTCCTAACCTGCCATTCACTCCTCTGTCCCATGGTACCATTCTCCACTGCCACCACTTTCTAGAAACTGTTCTCTGAAGCGACTCTGGCTAAGAAGTCCAATGGCACTTTTGCAGTCCCTGCGTCCCTGGGCTCCTCCAGCGCACCTGGTCCTACGAAAGACTCCCGCCCTCTGAGAGGCTCCTTCCACTCAGCCCCCATGAAGCACACACCACCTGTCTTCTTCCTTCTTCTCCGGCCAATTCGTGGTGGCCTTTGGAGGTACCTCTCCCTGTGGGTGTCACCTACTCCTTTGGCTTTAATTAAAACCTGTTCTCAGCTTCTAAATCTTTTAACTCCAAACTTAACTCCAACATATTAGACTTGTACACGCTACTGCCCACTACAAAGCTGTATTTGAATGTCCCACGAGCACCTCAATGCAACATGCACAAAATTAACCTCAGCATAACCCCGTTTTGAAGCTGAGTGAAGGATAGTCCCACCATCCTAACAGCTTTTGTGAAATCCTACAAGTTTAATGACGTTATTACTAAAACTAACTTTAAACCATCTAAACGAAAACAGGAAAAACTGTATCATGTAAAAAGTATTTTAAACCATCTAAACGAAAACAGGAAAAACTGTATCATGTAAAAAGTATTTTAAATTAATTTCAAATAAATACTTTTAGAGCCTTCATAAATGACTGTATTTTTCCTTTAAGTTTTTTTTTAAAAGGGTAGATGACAGTATACTTAGGGTGACCTTTCTTTCTTCCCAAGTGATGATCTAGAAAACCAGTTTGTCACCTGATCTAACTTCAGAATCAGATACCTGGATCACGTCTAGAGAACATGGTCATTGCAGAACAGACACAAGGAAGCGGGGAACCGCCACATACCCACGCTGGCCTTGGCTCCCAGAGCCTGCACAGCGGCCATAGTATGCACGATGACGCCCTTGGGGAACTCAGACCAGGTCGTCGGCTTTCCATCCACAGTGATGATGTGCCGCAGGCGAGGGACCAGAGAAACGATGTCCTGGAAAAACACAAGGATTCACTGCATTTTTCTCTGAATATGAGTGAACATGTGTGCATGCTCAGTCGTGTCCGACTCTGCAACCCCATGGACTACAGCCCACCAGGCTCCTCTGTCCATGGGATTATCCCAGCAAGAATACTAGAGTGGGTTGTCATTTCCTACTCCAGGGGATCTTCTCAATTCAGGAATCCAACCCGCCTCTCCTGCATTGGCAGGTGGAGGCTTTACCACTATGCCACCTGGAAAGCATATTCTTCATTATTCTGTATTAACGAGCTTGGCAAATAATCCAGGGCACAAGAAGAATAGTTTACCATGTTTCAAATTGTTCATTTCTTGCCTCAAAAAAGCAAGGGTGGAGTGTACTGACATGACTACCCCTTTCATCACATGGACAACTATCAGTTTGAAATGTAAGTTACTGTTTTATAACATTAGATTTACTGTGTATACCTGTTCTTTGGTATAATTTTAATCAATAAAGTTAATTCCTTGCAAAAATGGGCATATAAACACATATTGCCTGAACTACAAGGTAGCCAAATGTTCCCCATACTTTTAAGGCAAATAAAGGTACGGGGAGAGAGGAAGGGAATGCTCTTATAAGCTTGTTTCCAAAAAATAAAAAAAGGTCAGGTATTAGTGTTTGCACAGAGAGTTCAAAGACTAAAATTCCTTTCTCCCAGTTTCATAAAGTTGTTAACTTCCCTTTAAAAAGTTCTGAAACTTATACTCAATGCTTCAGAAGTAAGTCAATTACTGGTTTAAAAATAACCCTTAAAATTACAAATTTATTGAAAATAGACTTGAAAATAGATGAGCACAAGGAAAAAAGCTGTCATCCCTCCACCTTCCACATGGACATATAACATCTATAAAGTCTACTTTTTCTTTTCCAAAGGAGACTAAATTATGCTATTCCCCCAAATTTATAGAGATATTAAAGATTTTAAAGCTCATAAAAGAACTAAGTTTAATAATGAACTCATGACACTGAAAATTCATCAGACAGTTATTAGAAAACTAGTTCTCACCTTCAACTTTGTCTGCAAGAGTTCTTTACTAGTAATGATGTTGGTCACCTCTGTTTCATTTAATCCATGAACAATTGCTGGACCCCCTAGAGTAGCATACAGCGTAACAACTACAGGGAAAAGAAAGGGCAAGTCAAATACTTGGACATTTCATAGAAGTGTGAAGTGCAGTTAAATAAAGCCTCTGACCACTGACGGAACATCTAAACCCTAAAAATGTTAGATCCATAATTTGTGATCTAATTGTGCTGTGTTATTCTAAATTATTTTAATATATTAATTAACATGATACCTACTCACTCTTCTCTAATTCCCCCACAAAATTTCAACATTTTAAAATTTGTTTTCTTTTACCTATAGATGCTACTCTGAAACTGTGATATTGAAAGGAATTATATTTGACTTCTAAAATGTCAAAGTCATAGATGTTAACTATTTGACACTAAAATATAAAAAATATACCAATAAAATAACACACTGTCATATTTAAGATATTATTTCTTAAGAAAATAGCACTAATGAGTGGTAATACTACTTATTCTAAAGTAGAAAAATTTTAAGAAAAACAGTCTTAGAAATGTCAATATTAAATAATAATGAGGAGGACTTTTATATGCTTTCCACCTAACTCAAAAAAGTTAAACAAAGTCACTTTAAGAGATAACTAAAGCTTCTTAAAAGAAGCACATTATAAACCTAAACCTGTGAAAACAAAAAGGTACACCAGTTTAAAAACAAAATACAGTGGAGGCATTTACAACAAGAAATTTGATGATTAAAATTATTTTTTCCATTTCATCTGAAGTATAAAACAATGTCCATGTTTAATACCACAACTGACACCATAACCTCTGAACGGAACTTCTCAGACTACCTCACAGGCATCACAACTTCCACAAGTCGCGTTCTAGTTATACAACATAAAAATTCTCTATCGTTTAACAGCAGCTGGGTTTGAGTATTGGAAGTGTTTCAGAGGCCAGCTGCCAACTGTAGCAATGGCCTAACAAGATGACACCAACTTTAAAGGACAATTCTGTGAAGGGGTAGAGAGCAATGACCCACAGGTGTGGATTTAGTTCTCCAGACCCAAAAGTCCCCTCAGAATAGGCGCAAGTCCTCTCACTACATGGGTAACTTGTTCCACAACTGGTTCCTTTGCCAAAATAGACCAGTATGTCTTAAGTTGTAACAAAGGTGAAAATTAACATCAGAATTTTATCTCGGGAGGAAATACTCATCATAAAAAGTTAGTATCATCTCTCCCACACTAGGTCCATGCTCTGAGAAGGTAAGGAAGCCCACGTACGCTGAAAATTATACATGAAGCAGGCCTGTGCAGCGACCATCCACTCAGCTCTGGTTTCACAGAAGATGGCGATGTTGGTCTTGGGCTTCTGACCCAGCATCTGTAAGCCGTTTCCAAAATTAAAGGCTCTCACAAAGACATCTTCGTAGGAGAGCCAATTATAGCTTCCAAGAATAACCTGATAAAACAAACAAAAAAGCACACACAAAGAGCTTTCAATCATCAAAATGTTACTTTCTAGAAGGACGCCAGGATGTGTTCCAAATTTCAACAGAAAATTATGTTTGTATATAAAATATTTTGTTCTAACAAAAAGCTAGAAAGCGAGTTTCAAGGGAAAACTCTACTTTGAAAATTAGCTATTTTGAGATATCTTCTATGACAACTCAAATCTTCTGCTAAATTTTTATCATTTGGGCAATTGTTTTTCTTTTAAAAAAAAAATTCAAGGTTTAATGGGATCTTAAATGTCAACTTTCTGGCCAAAGGCACATATATTAGTATTTCATTTATAGACTTCATTTACTTAAACAATGTGGGTGTTGGTTTATAATTTAGTCTAGTATCAAGTACTACTGATACCAAGCTTTTACAAATTTTTACTACTTAATAATTATTGGATTTCAATATCGGATAGTACAATATGATTCACAAACAGACACTGGCCAGACCCAAGCTAACAGAAATGTTTATGGCCATTCAATTTGAACTGCTGTACCTAACTCTGGATGTGCAAAGTACTGATAGACAGTCTCCATTGATACAACCAGGTGGGGGGGTAGCTACACTAGTCAGCAAAGTCCCTCCGTAGAATGCTCACTGCCTCAGCAGGGCTTTCAACATTTCATTTGTGCAGGTAACATCAAGTCTTACCTTAGTAGCAATCCCCTTTCAAGTGTCTTTAGGAATTTTCTCCAACCTAGATCAAACCATTAATCCCTAATTTTACACGGATTAGACAGAAAGCTACTCTTGCTGCAAAAATATATGGACAGTTCCCAAATATGCCTGTGTCATTAACATATGTCTCACACACCTTAAAACCATCTAACCATATTCATTTTCAAAAACACATTTCGATAATAGAAATAAGCACGTTGAATGAAGATTAAAATGGAAAAACAGTTAAATACTGCCCTCTGGTGTCCAAGTCCAAGTTGGACTTAAGAAATAAATTCTTACTTTGATGGATAAGGGGCTTCCCTTGTGGCTCAGCTGGTAAAGAATTCACCTGCAATGCGAAGACCTGGGTTTGATCCTTGGGCTGGGAAGATCCCCTGGAGAAGGTAAAGGCTAACCACTCCAGAATACTGGCCTGGAGAATTCCATGGACTGTACAGTCCATGGCAGAAAAATATCTACTTCTGCTTTGACTGTGCCAAAGCCTTTGACTGTGTGAATCACAGCAAACTGTGAAAAATTCTTCAAGAGGTGGGAATACCAGACCACCTGACCTGCCTCCTGAGAAATCTGTACACAGGTCAAGAAGCAACAGTTAAAACTGGACATAGAACAACAGACTGGTTTTAATTGGGAAAGGAGTACATCAAGGCTGTATATCATCACCCTGCCTATTTAAACTTATATGCAGAGTACATCATGCGAAATGCCATGCTGGATGAAAGCACAAGCTGGAATCAAGATGGCCGGGAGAAATATCAATAACCTCAGATACGCAGATGACACCACCCTTATGGCAGAAAGTGAAGAGGAACTAAAGAGCCTCTTGATGAAAGTGAAAGAGGAGAGTGAAAAGTTGCCTTAAAACTCAACATTCAAAAAGCTAAGATCATGGCATCTAGTCCCATCACTTCATGGCAAATAGATGGGGAAACAATGGAAACAGTGAGAGGAGACTATTTTGGGGGGCTCCAAAATCACTGCAGATGGTGACTGCAGCCACGAAATTAAAAGACGCCTGCTCCTTGGAAGAAAAGCTATGACCAACCTAGACAATATATTAAAAAGCAGAGACATTACTTTACCAACAAAGGTCCGTGTAGTCAAAGCTATTGTTTTCCAGCAGTCATGTATGGATGTGAGAGTTGGACTGTGAAGAAAGCTGAGTGCTGAAGAATTGATGCCTTTGAACTGTGGTGTTGGAGAAGACTCTTGAGAATCCCTTGGACTGAAGGAGATCCAACCAGTCCATCCTAGAGATCATCAGTCCTGGGTGTTCATTGGAAGGACTGATGCTGAAGCTGAAACTCCAATACTTTGGCCACCTGATGCAAAGAGCTGACTCACTGGAAAAGACCCTCGTGCTGGGAAAGACTGAGGGCAGGAGGAGAAGGGGACGACAGAGGATGGGATGGTTGGATGGCATCACTGAGGCGATGGACATGAGTTTGAGTAAACTCCGGGAGTTGGTGATGGACAGGGAGGCCTGGCGTGCTGCAGTCCATGGGGGTGCAGAGTCACACACGACTGAGCGACTGAACTGAGCTTGACGGTTAAGGCAACTGAAATTAACTTTAGTAATTTGTTTACCTTTAGTAGTCCCAAACTCTCACTGCACCCCCCACCACCCCGCCATGAAATGCTCAGCACAAGGAGCTCCAATGACTTCAAAAGGAGCTCTGTGGGGGTGAGAAGGCAGAGGAGAATTGGCAAAAACGTGTAGGAACTGGATTACAATTTTTCAAAATTTCACACTCCAAAGATAAGCCTATGAGCTACCTCCTAGATTCTAGAATCTAAATGATTTTCATAAGTTTCAGAGAATATATGTGCTCTGAAAAAGCATTAGATATATAACCCAAATATATAAACTCAAAAGATGCTGGGAAGAAATCAAGCTAAGAGTTTAATTCAAGTGTAAGGGAATTCTGAATTTAATTCTTTAGACCACTGAATTTTCTAGGAGTGATCTTTCCCATAAAGATTATACTTAAGGGACTCTCCCTACACATAATTTTACCTAATTTCTGCTAGAAAAGGCTTCTGATCCTAACTTGGTCCCTATGGTTAGTCCAACCTGGAGATTAAATTATTCTATTCCCTGCCTATACTGCTGAGCACTGCTAAAGAATACCAAACTTTTAAATCCAGGATCACAGATCTCACCATCCAGCAATCCTATTGCACTTCCCTGGCATATTCATATTCTCACCCTGTCTGAAACCTCTCTACTCAAATGTCCTCCACTCTTTCTCTCTCCCTTCTCCACTTCCACCTGATGACACTATCTCACACTCCACTGAAAAATTAGAAATTAAACAGAATCTCCTTTGCTTTCCTACCACCAAGTTCAATACTGTACATGTACACACACCATCTGCAGTCCCCAGGATATGACAGTGGCTGAAGTGTTCCTGAACAGAGTCCAACTCACTAGGACGTTGAAGAGCTTCCTAAATTGCCATCTCTAGTCCTGATGCGTACTTGGATATTCAACCTACTTTTTCACTTGATTATTCAACTAAGGATGACTTTAACTGATACTCCCCTCGAAACAGTCACTTCCTCCATCTTACCCTATCATCCTAGCCCATCTCTCCTGAACTAATAAATGCTGACTGGCCAACTTCCACTCTTATTCCTCTTTAGCCCCTTCTCCCTACAGCAGGGAGTTTTTAAAAACATAAACCCACGTGCCGCCCTGCAAGTGTTCTGCCTCTCCAGTAGGAACGGAACCCAAAACCCCACGCCCTCGCCTTACAGAGTCCTGATGGCCCTCGACCCGGGCAGTGTCTCTGGGCCCATCTCAAACCCTCTGTCCCGACTCACTGACTGTACATGCAGCTTTGTCCTTCCTGTCCCTCAAACAGGCAGTGCGGGAACCAGGATGAGGCAAGACAGGTGCTTAGGACACAAAATTTAAGGAGGCACTCAGTCTCTGGTCTGAGTGCCATTATGAACTCTGCACCCTCATGCTTCACCCAGCTGGGTTCATTCCTACTTCAGAGCCACTGCACCATCCTGCCCCACTGCAGAGAGGGTTCCTACCAATCTTCACAAAGCTGGCTCCTCCGCATCCTTCAGGCCTCCACTAGGCCATGACTGACTCGGAGAGGCTACCCCTGATCTCCAATCAAGCTTTGATTCTCTACAATTAAGCTTTATTTCTCTACAGTTAAGTCTGTTACCTTACTTCTCATCTCTCTTCCTCCCATACAAACGTAGGATCCAGTGAAGAGTAACCTGTGTGTCTTGCTCCCACAGGCAGTTGTTTAACTTTAGTAGACAGTAGTATCTCCCAGTACCTAGGCCACTGTTAGCACCCAGCGGGCACCCAGCAATTATTTGCTAAATGTGTGGAAAGAACTGGTGCAACAAAACAATTTCAGTCCACTCTGGGCCTCGAAGTCTTCTACCTCTCCTCCAGAAGACTCATTTTCTAAAAGATTTTTTTAAAGTCTATATGCACCTGACCATTTAACTTCCATGGCTTCTTTTGTTCTGATCACCCTTCAATCGCACACGTGTTGTGCTCCCACCTCTTAAATATTCTTTTCTGTGACCCACGAGACATAAACATATCTGACTGTCCTGACTGAGTCAGGAAAATACACAACTAGTGTACCACGGAGTCTGAGCAGTTTCTTCACCTGTAAACCTACTCGGCAGCTAAAGGATCCCTCCAGTCACTTTGCTCTCCCACATTTGATTGGCTGTATTCTTACTCCGCGACAGGTGTGACACAGCACTGACATTTACGTGTGTGTATCACTCAGACTGTGGCTGCCAGGGCCTCAGGAACTCAGGGATTTACTTTTCTTCAGGAACCTATGAAATTAGACACCTGGATTATGCTGATGAGGAAGGCCTCTTATCTCAAAAGAGGACTATAAAAATAAAATGGAGATACGATACAGAACATGCTATAAAACAAAATCACACAATACTTAAACCAGTCAGGGCCCTGGAGAATGAGACAGTCTATAAAAATTAACTTTTCAGGTAGCTGAGTTTAACCTCTATCAGCATTGGAACTTTTACTTTAACCATGCAGAATAGAAGTATTTCAAAAGTATATACTTCCTACCTTCGACAAAGTATACCTGGCTTCATTTTACTGTTCTCTCTGCAAATGAGCATCATTCTAAAGAAATTATTGTGAGGAAGCCAGAGAGAGTGAAAATATTCAGTAGATCTGGACAGTTGGTGATAACCATGATGATAAGAAGGCAGCTAACCTCACCTAGTGTTTATTATGTGCTAGGCATACTGAAAGTAACACTCCCAGGAATTCTAAGATAGTTACTATTATTATCCCTATTTTACAGATGGGAATATTGAGGCATCAAGGGAGTAAACATAATTTGCTCAAACCCCACAGCTATAAGTGACAGACTAGAATATGAATCCAGGCAGATTCACTCCAGAATCTAAGTACTGTACTAAACCACACACTCCAATTGCACTACACAAGGGAGGTGGGGTATTACTGGGCCGGTGGGGTGTTAGTCAGGTGGCCTGACTAACAAGTGTAAAAGGTCTGTGTTTGAATGGACTGTATTCATAGTAGAGGCAAGAGCGGGAGCAGAAGGCTTGCTTAAAAGAAAGGAGTGCGGGGGAGTGGAAAGAGCAGTAAGGAGGGAAATAAAGAATCAGACTCCTGGTTTTCACCTTGAGCCTTTAATAAACGGAATGACAGGGTGAGGAGCTAGTGTGGAAAGGAAAACCAAGAGTTCTGGCAGGGGAGAGTATTAATATAAAAACCAACCACAAATTCTGACCAAGAGATCAGCCATTATTTTTTATATTTTAAATCAAGCATGTAAATATCCTAATAAGTCAAAAATAAAAGTCATACATGTGCAAACAGGATAAAAATGTGACTCAATAATTAAATAACACAAAAGCAGGCACTAAGAGGGAAAAAAGCTAAGTCAACTCCTAAGAACAGAAACGTGTATTTCTAGTATCTTTTTTGATCAATTCAGACGGAGTAACACAGTGAAACTTCTCTTTCTAAGCACTATGACTGCATGATTCCTTCTATTTTCTTCTAAGGTATGTAAAACATACAGAAAAAAATGCAAAGTGTCTCTGGTAGTCAGATCACTGAATGTTTAAGCTGGTTTCATGTTTTCTGTTTCACTGTAAAAAAATTTTTTATTCTTTGCAACTCTGTTCTATTACAAGTGCATGTATTTCAAAACTGTTCCAGAAAATGATCACTTCATTGTTAATTAATTTCAAAAAACATCAGTACAAGCACTTGCTTTGGGAAGTCTGAAATCAGGAGCTACCAACACTGGTTCCACACGCTTCACTCGGCCATAGTTTTCTAAAACCATACGAGACTCAGAACGACAGCACGACAGTCCTGGACAAGCTCGCTGGGCCACAGGAACACAGCAGCCTCTGTTTCTCTGCCCTCTGTTCTGCTACTCGTCCCCCCAGAGACCTGTCTCGGTGAAGCTGACAGTACCAGCTTGCCCACACTAGTGTGATATGCCCACACTATCATGGACATAACTTCAGCAGAATCATCACCACCGCCTTTGCTTCCATTTACCTTCCCTTGGGAGCTCAAAACAAATGTGTTAAGATAAAATGGAAACAAAGCTTCCGAGTTCATAGATTTGAAATAGAGGTTTCAGTATCTTTGTTTCAACCATATCAGATGCACTCTAGGGTTAATCCCCAAAGCTCAGTCTCCCAAAACAGGGAGACAACTTTTGGATCTTGCTCATTAGCTTTCTTTTCCAACAGAAGATGATCTTCAAACATGGAAACTATTAAATGATGATACACTTCAGCAAAAATATTTCCCACTCTCAGTAAGAACTCTGAGCAAAGCCACACTGCTTAAGCAACTCCACTCTTCCACTGAAGGGCAGGCTGTGAAAGGTCCCCTTCCCACTATTCTTTCATAGCCAGCTCTGCTACAGCTGCAAGACAACGGCTGTTAAATAAGGAACCAAGGGGTGGAGGTGGAGGAGCCTAGTTTAAGGCACAGTGGGGATACCCCTGTCCCGAGTGCAGGCCAACAGAAACTGAAGTCTCGACTAGCCTGCGGTATAGCACACCTTCTTGAGAAAGGCTAACAGAAAATATATGCTTCATTTATGACACACAAAACCTACTTTCCCAATGAGTCTAGTTTCAAACAAGAAGAAATATCATGTATTTTTTAATATCAGAGTCTATATAAAGGCTTTTGGAAAAAGTTTGATGAATCACATGCAAATTTAATGGCAAATATCAGTGTTAGGCAGACCCTCTGACAGTGATGTAGTAGAGACAGAAAAGATTGTTAATTGAAAATAGTTTTTCTTGCCTCTAACTCTTCTACTGGAGTTCAAATATTTCTCTGTTGAATAAACAATGAATACAAATCCACCAGGGTCAAGGAGGGAGGAAAAGTACCACATAACACTCACACATACATACAAACACACATGCAAAAACATGCACAGGGCATAAAAACTTTGCTTGTGACCACTGGGTTATCTGGCCACATTTAAGGAACAACTATGATAGCTCCAGGATTTTATTCTGTCCTAATTATACAGATACTTGAATTAAGAAGAATTTCATATTCACCATATTTTTCTGCTTTTCAAATACTTGGGAACTAGTTTGCTGCTGTGAGTACTGAATGACTGAAAGATAGTGCTAACTCCATAAAACACATGTGGTGTTTGGGGGAAACTGGAGAAAAATAAAGCTTTCTGCTAAAATAGGATTTCTGTGATATATGCTACATTAAAAGTAAGAGAACCCTATCTTTGAATTCAAATAGCAGTAGGAGTTGTCAAGGACAAAAGTAAATGTTTATTTTAGATACCAAAAGCACAGAAAAGAAGGCAGAGTGAAAACCTTTAGCACTTAGAAACTGTTTTCTTAAAAAAAAAAAAAAAAGAAAGAAAGTGTTTTCATTACCTTTTATAACTACCAGATCTCTCAAATTCAGAATCAAGGATGGTGTTTATAACCATAAAAAGTAGTGACTAGATATGACAAAAATCAGACGCCACTATAATAAAGTATTTTGCAAATTATAACCTATAGGCTAGAGACGAGTAATCAGACATGTTTAACTATATGACTTCAATTTCTCAAAATGTGCCGTTAACTAACCACACCTAGATTTTAATTTAGCACCCCCTCCCCTCAAAAAAAAATCACTTAAGTGAGGCAAAACTAAGTCAGCAAAAGAAATACGAAAAATGCCTTAAAAGCAGAGTGAACACAGAATTTATCCAAATCACTCGAGATTTCAAGGGGGCACTGTTGATGTCTGAGTAACAAGTACAAGTCAGGACTGCTCCATGTAAAACTAGATAAAACATCAGTCTATTTGAAGGTTAGGAACACATACAGATTCTGTTGTCCAGAGTTAAAAGAGAGTTTTCTTAATTTCTAGGACTTACTGATATTAACTTGCTTGACATCTCCTTTATGTTTCAAAGATGACTGGAATTTGTGTGGTAAGTGGCAAAATTCATGGACCATTAAGTAAAACAGTATCATTCTCAACCCCACCACCACTACTACCCCCCCACTCCACCCACACACATTCTGCAGCAACAGGAGGAAATGCGAGCATCTCGTTCTGTCGCTGTGCTTACTTGGACTCCCCTGCAAGGTCTGGGACCTCCTTCATGACCAACAGAAAAAAAGGCAGCTGGAGTCAGGACGTAGTTGGAAAAGGGAGTTAAAGAGAAAAGCAACTTCACCTACACAGGTATTAAACCTATAACCTAGCCAAATTCTCAACTAACTGCAGATCATCTTACTGCCTCTAAAAGAACTTTATCTTCAGTTTTCACCTACCAGAGCTTCAAGAACAGTTTATAAGAAACACACACACCCGAGTTTATAAACAGCATTTTCACGCCATTTCTCTTCTTCAGAGGGGCTGCACCACGTGCCTTCACTCACTCATACATACAGGTCTGCCCAGTGAATTCCCAAGATGATGGAAGCTACAGCGATTATACTCAATACCACAAACTGTCCCACACACATACTTACAGAACACACACACACAATCTCTCTCTCACTTTCTCCATTAATTCTCTCAACAACTCTGAGCTGGGATTAGTTTAAGGAGCAGAGCCAGCCAGCCTGGGTTCTGGCCCCACTGCACCACCAGCCAGCCTGACGCCCTCGGGCCAGTGACCCCTCTGTGCGGCAGCGCCGTCATCTGTGAGGGGGGACACCCCATCACACTAACCCGTGCGGCTTTTTAAGTTTTATCTAAGTTGATAAATGTAAAGCTCTTAAAGCAGCCTGGCTCATCAGGAATGCTAATAAAATGTCAGGAAGGATCATTACGTCCATGTTAAAGATAAAGACCCTGAGGCAAATTTGTTATGTAGCTTTTCCAAAGTCACACATAGCTGGTGGGGGTCAAGGACAAGATCTCAACCCACAGTCTGGATCTGGAGTCTGGGCTCTGAGCCAAGATGTGATACTGCTAGTAAAGGAGGTTTTATTCTTTGTTTTCAAATCAATAATGGATGGCTTAATATTTGTGAAAAGAAATTCTCCAAAAGAAAAAAAAAAAATCCAAGGCACTTGTCACAACCAAACTACCAAGACATTAAACATCCAATGGAACTTACATTATAATCAGAAAAAGCAGGTCACACCCCAAAACCCAGAGCAATCTCAAGCACACAGGCGCTTCTGGAACTACCAGGGAATACAGTTTCAAACCCCGAACTGCCCTAGACCTTCAATTCCAAGCCTTGTAGACACTCAGGCGGCTCGGAAGTGCTCTGCACTCAACATCTTTGTAAAACTCAGAACAAATCCAAGCCAGCGGTACAGAAAGGGAAGGGTGCAGCCCAGTCCCTAGTACATCCATTTCTCCTGCCACATCAGCAAATTCCAACAGAAGCAGGTCACATTTGTCCCTTGCTACCACTTCTTTATTCAGAGCAAATTCAAAGGCCATGAAAGACCACATTACCTTTTTAAAAACTTTTCCATTCGGTTGCACTTCATCTTCCTCATTTAAGATTTCACGTGTCCCCAAGAGTCTTTTGTCCTTGAATTTGTTTTTTGCATGCATAAAAACTTTATCGAGTGTATCACATCCAGGGTATAATACGGAGGCCAAACCATCCAAGCTGTTAACAGATCTGTATGCAGAGTCGGGTGTTGAATTTACAGGCTTTGCTTTAGTTCGGTTTGATTTTTCTTGTCTTGACTCAGACAAAAAATAATATGGAATGTATGTTAAAACAGTATAAAGTGATATTATGAACTGTATGAAATATAAAAGAATGGGGTTGATGGTGTGTTTCAGCTTCATGGAAGACGGTTTTGAAGACCCGTGGTTATTCATAGTGTTCAAAAAGGAGAATTAACAGCTTTCTGTAAGAATCTAGAAGGAAAAGAAAGAAAGTTATTGGTCAAAAATCATTCTCCAATAATTTTAAAGGAAAAGTCTTTACGTTAGTTAGGCAGAGGACTGCCCCCCGCCCCCAGTAAGTAGCCACTGGTATACTGGCTGCCAGCAACATAATGTCCACTCCTGCTATTTGTGGGACACTCATCTTGTGCTGTTATCTATTAACCATGGAATTTCTACAGAAAAGCTTCCACGTCATTCTGTAAACAGGTGGCTTTCCCAACCTAACCCCAAGTAACCACAAAGATTTCCCAGTGGCGAGGAGAAAGCAAGCCAGCAGACCTACAACAGGATGGAGACCAACACTGCACCCACTTGCTGCTCTTCAAGGTCTCATTACATTCAGGATGGCAAACACTCAGTACAAAGGCCACATTCTCCTCTCTCCCGGCCCCTGGGGCCGCTGCTTTCTTTCCCAGGGCGCCCCCTTCTCTCACTCCAGGCAGCGGCAAGCAACTGGAGTTAGCAAACCGCATGAAATTCCCCTTCCACAGAGATTCTAGATATTTTTCACTTTAGACAGATTACATTATAAAGCAAGGAGGCAGCACACTTTGATCATTTTATATGCTGCATTTCTCAGATTTACTGAGACTCTTCCATGTGTTAAGACAGGGACTGGAACAGAGAAGGAAACGGCCTAAGCTTCTCCCGACATGGTGCGGATGCACCCGGTGGGAGGAGCCCCACGAGGTCAGGGAAACGCGAGGTGAGCAGGCAAGGCTGCAGAAGCCATCTCGGATGCGGGCGGGCCCCTGTGGGCAGTGATACCTGAGCCGAGTGGGGGAGAGGGCGCTAGGCAGAGGACGCAGCCCTGTACCGCGGGTAGGTGATACTATCACCTAGCAAACTACCAACCACTCCACCCAGCTCCACCTCCAGGATTGTGATTTCTGGCGCTTTTCACCTCCGTCCTGCAGAAATTCTATTCCAGGAAAGTGTGGCCGAGAGCCCTGAGGAATCCCCTCCCTCCGTCTCGCTCAGGGCAGAAGCTCTACTGTTGGCGCAGCAGGCCACGAATACTGGGCACTGTGGTTCATCAGGTCGACGCAGGGAGGGCAGCTCCACCGGTGGCTGTAGCCAAGGCCAGGACGCCACTCAAGAGCAGAGGACACGGTGCCCCTGGAGCAATGGGACAGAGGTACTGCACAGGCCAGAGAAGCAGGCTGCAAGGGTACAGAGCCCCCTAGCAGTCACTAAGAGGACTGACTTAGCTGGAACGCAGAATAGACAAGCTCAAGTTTGATGGCACTGGCGAAAACAACGTAGACACTGGTCGTGAGCACCTAAGGTGAAGCCAGTAGGTCCATAATAGAAAACATGCCAAAGGGAAGTCTGGCATCCAGAGAAGTTCAACAGAATCATGGAAAGAGACACTGAGGAAGACCCCTCCTGGAGCCAGGGCAGCTCAAAGATGGCCTCAAACACAACTCCCACGAAGAGCATCTAATCTAACTGGACACACTGTGGGGCATCTCAGGGCCCAGGGCTTTGTCCAAAACGAGAAAGCAATTGACCCGCTAGCAGTGGACAGTCTGTGCTGAGTGTGGCGCCAACAGGGGCAGGTCATGGAGACAGACGGTTAAAGGGAGCCCGACTAAAACCGTGCCGTCACCCTGAGGAGGGTGCTTCCAAGTAACTGCGTGTGTTCCCAAGGCTGGGCCCGAAGGAGCAGCATCAGAGGCTGCCCGCTGCAGAAAAGGCAAACTTCACCAAAACCGGTCAGCTAAGTCACTACACAAGCAAACAACACAGGAGGGTGTGGAAAAGGAGAGGGGGACATTAGTCTTCAGAACTGCTACAAAATATCTAAAATGTCCAGTTCACAACAAAAAATTAGGAGGCATGCAAATCAACAGAAAAGTATGCCCTGCAAGTACGGGGGACAGACAGGCAGCAGAAATCCTCTTGAGAGGCGCCAAATGTCAGGTGCAGCAGACAAGGCATCAAAGTAGTTATTACAGCTATGCTCAGAGAACTAAAGGAAACCATTCTTCAAAAATTAAAACACAGATTCTGCAATTTTTACAAGATAAGGAGCCCCTCTGAATTTGCTCACACATAGCTGTGAGATGCCAAAGACTCCCAACTCATCTCTGGGCTCTGTTCACCATTCCCAGCTCTCTTCTTTGACAATGTGTTAGGTAGTAACTTGAAGAATGAGTCCAAAGAATCCAGATTTCTGCCAGAAAGGGAATGGGGAGCCACTGAAGATTTCTGTACAGACAAGTGGTACAATGAAAACAATGGCCCTACCACTTCCGGGATACCAGAATTGCAGAGAACAGATGCACTTAATAACCCAGCAGAATGATGTTACCTCATTAAGTACTCTGAAATTTAATACTGCATGCTTCTATCTTGAATTTTAAAATACTGTGATTTAAAAAAACTACCTTTATCCACAGATGATATGACTGCATTACAGAAAATCCTAATGAATACACTGAAAACCTAACAGAACAGAGTTCAGCAAAAGACTTCATGACAAAAGGTAAATATTAAAAAATCAACTGTATTTCTATACACTAGAAAAAGTGAAGGTAAGAAAACAATTTTTTTTACAACCCTTTCAAAAACACCTAGGATGAGATGTAACAGGAAGTACAAAACTTGTACCATGAAAACCACAAAACATTTTTTAAAGATACTAAACACCTAAACAGAAAACATTCTGTTTATGGATTTTAAGACTTAATATTGTTAAAATGGTAACATTCCCCAAACTGATGTACAGATTCAATACGAAGGTTATCAAAATCTCTGCTGACTTAACAGAATTTTGTAAGCTGATCCTAAAATTCACACGGAAATTCAAACTACCTGGAACAGCCAAAACTTCTGAAAAAGAACAAAGTTAAAGGGCTCACACATCTTAATTTCAAAACCTAATACAAAGCAGTATTAATCAAGACACTGGGCTACTAGTAAAATGGCATACAGATTAATGGAACAAAACTGAGAGTCCAGAAATAAACCTCTGTGCTATGGACAACTGATTTTCAATAAGACAGCAAAAAACTCAACAGGGAAAAAACAGTCTCTTCAACAAACAGTGCTGGAACAACTGGACAGCTCCATGTAAAATAACAAAGATGAACCCCTTATACCATACAAAAAAAATAACTTAAAACTGATCATAGGCCTAAATATAAGAGCTGAAACTATAAAACCTCAGTAAGTAGTAATCACTGAGAATAAGTAGTGTTTCAGGAAGAGTACAGTAAAAGGAAGAGGTGGGTTCAGGCTTTTTCTGGGAAGTCTGCTTGGCCCAAACAGTAATTTACTATGATCTTCAAAGTGTGGACAGAGGAAGAGAGATTTTGAATAGATGATACCATATAGCGTGAACAAACACCAAAAGTTCAGGAAACAATCAGCCACCCAGGAGAGCAGGGTAGGGATGAGGAGACGAGGGCAGGGTATTAAAGACCCCAAATCTTAAAGATCAAATTGTTGTGGCCTTTGATGCTAAGAAACTTAGTTTACATTCCAAAGTACAGAAACATACAGTATTAGAAAATAACTGTATGCCGAGGATACCCTGAAGGCAGTAGGAACTGGAGGGAAGGAAACTACATAAAAGATAACAAATAATCCTCTCCTCCACGGGTCAGGAGGCTGTGTTGAGTATGACATGAAACAAGCAGCCAGGATTTCTGGCTCCTAACTGCCCCACAGGGTGGCAAAGGTGGCAGCTGTCCTGCAGCCTTTCCAACAACTGAAATCTTTCTGCTTTAATACACGAGGGTGGTTCTGTACCTGAATCTCGGACAGAACAAAGCCGCAAGTTACAGCAAAGGCAGCAAAAGGAGGGCAAACAGTGTGGTGCCTTCAACCGAAACGGAAATACAATGAAGAGGCTGGTCAGTGGCTGGAAGGCTGGGGGAAGGGAGGGGAATACAAGTCTGAGCATAATGGGTTTAAGATGTCCGTGAGTCATCCAAACACACCAGCTGTGAAAGCTAAAAGGAGTCAGAGCTGCCCAAAGAGAACCCAGAGGAGATCTCCAAGATAAGTTTAAGAACAGAATACTCTGGAGGAATGCCAGGGCTGAGAGGGGAAAAATCCCATGGAAAAGATCAATGAAGGAGGAGAACTTGGAGAGGGAGGGGGTTAGGAAAGCCAAGGGAAGAGAGCCAAGTGGTGTCAAATGCAGCCTAGATGCAACAGTCACATGCAAGTAAGACATTTGACTTTTCTACAGTGTTTTAGATAAACCAGGTAAAATAACAAAACTTTGGTCAATTACATCCTTCCTATCTGCTCAAGTGTCTATAGAAAACTGTAGACTAGTGTTGAGTGAAATAAAAAGAACACACAACCAAAAAGTCGAGTGTTTATGTTTTATTCTGCAGACATACTGAGGACTAAAGCCCAGGAGACAGGCTCTTAGCTCTGAAGGGCTGTTGCAGAGAGATAAGGATGAAGCCAGGGTATATGTGAGTTCTGCAGAAACAAACCAGGTAGTTACACATCAAAAGATTTCTGATAATTGAAGAAAAAACAAACACCAAGTTAATGAATTTATTAGTGCCCTTCTATGCATAGGAAGATGCAAGAGCCTGGCTCACTGAAATCATGATATGCACCTTAACTGTCTACAGCCGGTATTGTGCTCTTCTCTACCCTGAATCTCCTAAGGATTCAGTTCAGGCAGTCGCAGAGGCTTGTGGCTTCCTGGCCACAACATCCTTTGTTTACTGATGTGAAAAGCAACATTTTTCATCCACATTAGGAAACTAGTCACAGCTACTGTATTATGTTGTCACACCTTAGAATATGATTATCACCTTCCAGAAAGCAAATCTGAACCATTAAGTCTATTAATCTTTTCCTTCACAGTGTCGAGGTTTCCAATCTACTTTAAGAAGGCCTCATCCATGCCAGGATTAAACCACTGGCACTCTATGCCCTATATTTTTTCTAGTATTCGCAAAATCTTTGTATTTAATCAACATGGAGTTTACTTTTCTCCATTGTGTAAGGGAGAAAACTAACTTTTTCTTTCAGATGAACTGTCTGAACCATTTATTAAATAAACCATCACTTCCTCAATTAACCAAAGTGTCACCTTCAATAATAAGTTACAGTTCACAGTTGGATTCAGTTCTCAACTCTGTTCCGTTTCTTGGATGCACCTGCCTACAGCTCTGCTAACACCACACCACACCAGGGGCAGATTCACAGCAGCGCTCCTTTACCTGTGGTCCACGGACCAATCCTTCGGAATTACCTTAGAGCATACTTTAATGGAGATTCCTCAGACCTGTCTTTCCCTTTCTCACCTTCCCAATACCTGCAAGCTGAAAACTACTGGGAGACTCGGTTTTAAACAGCAACCATGGGATTTTAATGTACACTAGTATTTGAGAACTACTGCTTTAAGTATCTGATAAGGCCTTCACTAGTCACATTTTTCAAAATGTTCTTATCAGCGCTTACAGATTAATTCTATAGATTCAACATTTCTTTATGGTGAAACATGATTTAAAAAGATCAAAAAGGAACAAATATATATTGCTTATATGGACAATCTAAATAATATATACAAATGAACTTCTTTACAAAACAAAAATAGACTCACAGACATTGAAAACAAACATGGTTACCAAGGGGGAAAGGGTGGGAGGTGATAAATTAGGAATCTGGGATTAACAGATAAACACTACTATATACCAATTAGATTTATTTTTTTCCCCAATTATTTTTATTAGTTAGAGGCCAATTACTTTACAATATTGTAGTGGTTTTTGCCATACATTGACATGAATCAGCCATGGATTTACATGTGTTCCCCATCCTGAACCCCCCTCCCACCACCCTTCCCCACCCCATCCCTCTGGGTCATCCCAGTGCACCAGCCCCGAGCACTTGTCTCATGCATCCAACCTGGACTGGCGATCTGTTTCACACTTGATAATATACATGTTTCGATGCTGTTCTCTCAGATCATCCCACCCTGGCCTTCTCCCACAGAGTCCAAAAGTCTGTTCTATATATCTGTGTCTCTTTTTCTGTCTTGCATATAGGGTTATCGTTACCATCTTTCTAAATTCCATATTTATGCGTTAGTATATTGTATTGGTGTTTTTCTTTCTGGCTTACTTCACTCTGTATAATGGGCTCCAGTTTCACCCA